TATGCAGTTAATACTGCAGACTCCTACTCGTCAGCTACATTACTGATGAAACACATCGCGATCAAATCGCACTATAAACAAACACTCCGAGGATTAGGAAATCTATGATGAACTGTTTAGAAAAAAAAAAAAGACTCATTTTTCCACTGTCGCTAATTACCCTCTAATTTATCTGTTGGGCAGTACATTCCTCTATTTTATGTTCTGTTAGTAACTGGTACGAGTCAACTAAACTTACTTATCTTCTCCCTGCCTCCCCTGTAACCTACACTATTTCATCCGTAGTTGGTTTGTTAAAGTAGGCTCAGTACATAATTAAAAATAAGTCTCAAATGACTGCCTCTGCCGGAAGTGAGAGCTTCCTACTATTCTAGGTTTTTTGGTCAGGAGGACACAGCCCCACATGGCAGGTTTTCACCTGGCAACAAATGTGTACGAAATGATTAACCATCTCTCTCTTCCCTGCAGCACCAATCAACAATCAGTGTAAGCTCTGAGTCTCAGATGAAGTATTAAAGTTAACCATTAAGGATCCAATCACTAGGAAATGGCACAGGATAGTAGTGGTCAAAAGCTCTGGAACCAGAAGACTTGGGTTCAAATCTCAGCTCTGCCCACTGCCGGCTGAGTAACCTGGAGAGAGCCACCTATCCTTCCCAGGCCACTTACCTCGCAGGTGTCAGGGGAGTAACACATCAGTGCATGCACAGTGCTCAGAACAGCGCCCAGCACGCATGAAGCGCCCACCACGGGACCCTGGCCACGCCCATTACTTCCGTGAAGACAGCCGAGATTGCGCCATCCATGTTAGTTAGGAAATTTGCCTCAGAACAGCCTAGATCTGAATAATTATGTGGACACTGCTGAATTCTACCAGTACTTTTACATCCTTTAAGAAAAAGTCTTTTAAAAAATAAACTCATATCTGAAAAGATATCTGCACACCGATATTCGTAGCAGCATTATTCACAGTGGCCAGGACATGGAAGCAACCGAAGTGTCCGACAATAGATGATTGGCTAAAGAAGCAGTGGTACATATATACAATGGAATATTACTCAGCCGTAAGACGAGATGAAATACTGCCATTTGCGACAACACGGATGGACCTCAAGAGAATCATGCTAAGCGAAATAAGCCAGACAGAAAAAGTTGAAAAATCACATGATATCACTTATATGTGGGATATAAACCTAAAAGTAACAAATGAACAAGACAGAGACTCAGGGACATGGACAATAGACGTGGTTACCAGAGGGTAGGGGCTGGGGGAGGAGGGGAGAGGTTGACGGGGTAAAGGAGGTCAAATAGGGGGATGGGGGAGGGTGAAGTGGGTAAAGGGGGTCAAATATGTGGTGACGGGAAGAAATCTAACTATGGGAGGTGGACACACAGTGTACATATGAAAATGCCTTACTGTTCACATCTACAGCTGAAACTTATTGGATTTTGTTAACCAATACATAACAAATAAATAAATAAATAAATATGAAACGATTGGTCTTCATCAGGAACTGGGCTATTCTGAACTAGAGAGGGCAGGTACTTTGGAGCGGAAGCCTTCAAGCGAACAAACACCGGTGCCCCTGAGAACGGCCGCGGTGGCTTTGTCGTACCTTGCCCGTCCGGCGGAAGAGCAGGGGCCTAAGCCTGGGCTTTCTCCTGCTGCGGTGGTGCAGCAGTCTGGCTGCTTCCACCTGCTCGAAGGCATTTCTTGCCTTCGTCGGCCTCCTTAATTTCCTGGTTTTTGTCTGCAATCCCTACCTAGCCCCGGGGATCTGGCATCCTGCTTGACAAACAGCTCAGGCCTCTCCACCCCCCGTTCTAGAATCCAGCAACGGCCGGTATCCCCAGGGCACCAGCAGACTTGGCCACTGACCACGAGGGTAGAGATCAGAAACCGTGTGTCCACAGCTGAGCTGCTCCGATGGGGGCTGCAGGGAGACCTCTGTCGACCGAGAGTCCCCAGTTTCCAGCGGGGGACTCCAGGGGTGACATCCATGATCTGGGTATCAGTCAGCACAGCCCATCCCCCTCTGCCACATGATTTCTGTCCTGGGCACGTGACCTGAGCAGATCCAGTTAAGAACGAATGGCAGAGCTTTTTCTGGTGACGCTGGGAACTGGGGTCCATAGGGCCCTATGACCTACTGGAAGCCATTTTAGGATCACGAGGCGGGGATCCTTAGCATAAAGTTGACACCATGGAAAGCAAAGCTGATGGAGAAAACAAACCAGGCCCCTTTGCGGCATTGCTAAGCCATATCGAGATTTGCCCTGTGGCTTTGAGCCATTTGGTTTCATAAACCAACAGTCCCTTTATTGTTTAAACCAGCTTCGAGTTGTGTTTACTTGCAATCTAAAGAGACCTGTCTCAGGATGCATTTAAGACAAGCACTTTCTTTACTGCCCAGGAGGGCGCTGCAACTCGCTGGCCATGGTCTATAGGTTTAATGCACCTGGTAAACATTTTTCCCCTTCAGAGATGGCTGGTAGAAATGATAAGCTTCAATCTATTCCAGACTGAATTATTTTTCTATGTTATAAAAATCGCGATTCCCTTTTATTTCTAAACCTACGCAAAAGACATTTCTTTGGGAGCCATGGAATGAGCAAACGGAAGTGGAAAGAGAAAAAACAGGAAAGCTATGTGACTAGTCCAGGGAGAGAGCTGACAGATATTCAGATCCCACAGATAAGCACAAAAACGTCTTTCAGTCATTATTAATAAGATCACCCTAATAGTAAACTAGAGCAGTGCCCCAATCAAACGCGTTCAGTTAAGTCCTTCTGACACAAGTATAAATGCCACCCACGAGCGGGCTTCTATTAACCTTCTCCACCGGGGCCTGTGGCATTGTGCAAAGCCTCTGCAGCTTTCCGCACACATGATCTCACTGAAACATAACGAGGATCTTCCCGTGGACCGTGAGGCCCACACAGAATGTGAGGACACTGACACCAGAGAAATCCTCCTCAGCCATCGTAGGGGAGCAACAGATCGAGAACTAGGAGCTAATCTACAGGAACTAATCTGCAAATGGAAAGGCCAACAACTGAGTGTGGATCCTCCTCAGCCATCGTAGGGGAGCAACGGATCAAGAACTAGGAGCTAATCTGCAAATGGAAAGGCCAACAACTGAGTGTGAAAAATTGGCTCTAGAAACGCACTCAGAAGTCAAATACATGCTGATTATGGCACTGATTTTAGATTTTTCGAAAGTCCAATTAAGATTCAAGAGCTCAAGTAGTATTATCTAGAACATCTAAAAACCAGTGCTAGCATTTTGAAGCGTTCGAGTTTTAGGCTCAGCTTTTGAGAGACATAACCAAGCATTTATCTGGCATTCTCCTTTCCAGGGCATAAGAGACAGTACTTGGTTTACTTGAAATGTCCTCAGTTTTAGCGACGCCCAACGGCTCCCTTGTATCCTTTTTAAGCTGGGGTGTTTTTATACTTCCCCTGGGCTCCAGCAGACATAGGGCTACCTCCCTCCGCAGAAGCACAGGTTCTGATGCGGGGGCCGCTTGCCCGAAGCTCTCTTTCGTATGACATATAAACAGTTTTCCAATCGTACCACTGGGAAGCGATGGTACAGATATCAAGTCTTCATATGCTAGACAGAACTTACAGCCTGAAAACACAAACGTCACGGAATAACTCATACATGTAGCCTTTCTAGTACAAACCAAGTCACAGGAACTCACTGACCCGGCTCCCAAGGGGTCCTGAGCATCGTCACTGCTCTGTTCAGTCACCCCCTGTGATCTGACTCCACCTGTCCCCTCCTTCTGGTCCCCTTCACAAAGGTTTTCTCAAAGTTCACCTGAGGAATGGGTAGGCTGGGAGCAATGAATTCCAGCTAATCTATCTGGATGTGAGTAGGAAAAAAACAGGGATCACTTTGCAATCTTAAAATACTTAGGATTTTTTTAAAAAAATGAACACGACCTATTAAGGGATGCTCCGAGCAAGCTGACTACGCTCCCTCAACCTCGACACAGAACTGACCACAGAGAGCACACACATCACATGACACATTTTTCATTTTATCACTGCGACCACCCCATGAGGCAAGCATGCGAGTCACCATTTATGTCTCGTGTGGCGGTTCCCAGCTGTTCTCACAGCTCTCACACCCCGTACTGCCTGGGAGGACCCTGTCCATTCTGGGCATCTCCTTCCTCCTGCGGCTCCCGCCCCCCGGGATCTGGCACTTGGGGACACTTGTGCTTTTAAAATTCTGTCCCCTGGCTCCTCATGCAGCTCCTCAACCTACCCTGTGTCCCTGCTGCCCTGCTCTCCTCGAAATCCATGTCCAAGCTCAAGGCTCCGTCATCAGCTTTCCTACCAGAATCGTTAGCCGGGTCTTCAAATCCGTCCCCTGGATCCCAGACTCAAAGCCCCTGGTCTCAGGGAGACCCTCCTCCCGGACCTGCAGCTCCTGATGTTCCGGTGCGTCCCCTACTCTCGACACTGCTGTAGGAATTTACTCACCCACATGTCCCTTATTCTGGCCTTGGCGAGACTAAGGTTTCTCTTCACGGGACTCTTTGTTCGAGGAGGGTTTTAACTGCGGGTGAGGTTTATCTACAGTCCCTCCCCCTTTTTAATGAGAAATGCAGCACTAGAACAATAGAGCGTATCCTCTGACTTTGGATTTTAGAACTTGGTTCTGTGACCAAAAAGGGGACACGTAAATAAATGCCTCCTCCTCGCCCCTATTCTGGGAATCAGGAAATCTGGGGCTAGCACCTCTTAAACCCTAAGTAACTGATTTGCTTTTGAGCGAATGAATATTTGGTGGTTAACTATTAAAGTTATTAACCTTACTTTTGCTGGAATAGTTAACTAAAATTAACTAAATGCATTTACAGAACATTCAAGACATATTTATAGAGGCCGAACAAAAGCCAGATTTCAAATTTTCAGTGTCCCAAAATGCTTTCATAGGACTCCAACAGAAATTGGGGTTGGGGGACAGGGGTGGACTAATATATCCGGGGGTCCTAGGGTTAAACAAAGGTCATTTTCTGGAAGGTGGCACCTAATTTGAGCAGTGAAACCCCCAAGTCTTAACGCAGGTCCAAAGCCGTTTGTTCCTGCTACATCAGCTCGTGTTCCCAAAACACTTTTGAATGTGCTGCCTGCCTTCTCAAAAATGATTCAGAACCGAGGAACACGGCTTCCCACAATGCCTTCTAAGGTGCACCTGGGAATCCAGGTGCACTCAGAATATGCAAAAAAGTAGGTTTCACCTCTTACGCCGTGAGGAGAAATCAACACACACACTCAAATGTAGCTCACTGACAGCGCTCTCATTTATCTTATGAGAAAATGATATAAATTTGAACTAATGGCAAATCAAATTGGTGGGTGAGGGGGCCCAAGATGGGTGAAAAGGGTCAAAAGGTACAAACTTCCAACTATAAAGTAGGTAAGTCCTGGGGCTGTGACATGTGGCATAGTGACTGGAGTTAATAGCACTGTGCTGCAGGTTTGCAAGTGGGGAAGAGAGTAGATCTTAAAAGCTCGCATCCCAAGAATAAAACTGTAACTATGGATGGAGATGGACGCTAACTAGACTTATTGTGATCATATGGCAATGTGCACAGGTATCAAATCGTTAAACTGTACACCTTAAATGAATACAATGTTATATGTCAACTATAGCTCAACTTTAAAAATAATAAATCTACACTAAAAAGTCCTGCTTTAAAAAAATCTATTTGCTTCATGGAAAGGTTTCGTTGCTTAAAAACAAAAACAAAAACAAAAACGAACAAATAAAAAAAATCATGATCCTAAAGTACCTCAGCAGGGTTTTCACGCACGAGGAAAACAAAATGTGGGACAAATGAGATAATTAAATTTTAAACGGCAATTGAACATTTCTAAGATGTGTGCTTCTATTTGGCAACTATGTTGAGATTTGAAAAATTAAAAGGCTAAACTTGTTTGATTTTCATAGCCTGGCAGGGGTGAGAGGTTTTCCATAGTTTTTTCATTTGTGCTAGAGACTCCAGACCCAATTCTTCATGTGTGAACTTTTCAACAACGGCAAACAGTGTGTACAACTATGTTTTACCTTTGTTTCCATCAAAATGAAGTAAAAGCGTGTACACATATATAGATACACTGCTTTTTCCTCTAAAACAAATTGAAAAGTGAAGGAGGAAGGAGAAATAAATTCTTAAGATTAATAATAATGGTTAAGTTCATTCTTATCATCTGCTGAGACTCAAGTTTCTGACTTGTTTAAGCTTTCCATATTTACCTAGACTATTGAAAGAGAGAAATGCTTTTAATCTCTGCATTTGCCCTCATTCTTACCCAACAATCAGGCACTTAATACAGAGTCTGGTGTCAGAGGTCCTGATGAGTGACAACTGTGAAATCTTTGATTAATACACGAGTCAACAACACTACAGTCGGAGGGAGAAGGGAAAAATAATGAAGAGAATATTCTTCAGAGTATGGTACCCTCAAAAACAGAGTTGAGAGAGGGAAGCCTACGAAGATAAATCAGGATGTGGAGGCTACCATATGGGGGGGCCTCTGTCACTCCCAGGTTGACTGGGGCCATTGCTGTTTCATGTATGTCCTCCCCTGAGGCAAGGCTGGGCTGAAAAAGACCCAGCCCCCTCCCCCTCAAAAAGAGAGAAAAGAAGGACCAACTAGGCAGTATTAGCTTTAAAATATGTTTTTCCTAACCGTGCAAGAGAGAAAACGCTGAGCTGAGACTCAAACATCGGAGGCTCCCAGCACGTGGGGGCTGTGGAGCCCGGAAAAGTGCAAAGCCAGGGACAGAAACACTTGCCGGGGGCTGAAAACATCGGTGTCACATGTATTTCTTTGATATTAAGACGTCGCTTTCCTACTCTGTTTGAATATTTCTGAAACAAGGATGTGTTTTGTAGGCAATGTGGGTCTACGACGGGGTAGAGTCTGACCAGAATCAAGGAATGACCGTTATTACACGCCCTCTCGTTCTTTTCGGCTCTATAGAAATACGGTTTTAGTGACTGACATGCCACTTCGATGTTAGGTACCGGCACACTCACAGGACTCAACGATATTATGCATGCGGTGGTTACAGGGCCACCTATAAACCATTTTGATTTAAAAAAAATAATAATAATAAATAAGAGCTCTCGAATTCAAAGATTTGGAGATCACTGTCCAGAGCTGAATTTTCCAAACGTGGTGGAGACTGACAGAATCGCATCGACTTTCTCTCTCCTGCAGTGTCCTTCAGCTCTGGCTGGGTCCTCTACGATGGTGCTGTGTCCTGTGGGGACACACTCAGCCTGACTGCTGTGAGGTCCGTGCCCAGTGCATCCCCACGGGCAAGGTAGGAAGTTAATGCTGCAAGTAACACCTCCCCCTCTGATTTTTTCTTACAAAGATACAATTTTTAAACCCCTCAGCCAGCTACCCTGAGAGCTGAAATCTTGGGGTTCCCAAGTCAGCACTGAGCCATCTGAGGAGGGGGGCCCCCGGAGAGGGGGCCAGGCCGCTCTGAATGGATCTGATGGGTGCCAGGATCTGGGCTTCAAAGGGTTAAGCTCAGAGCCACCCGCCGGGCCTGGGCGTGGCTAGAATTCTTGCATTTTTTTTGTTTCTCCTGGATCATTATATGGATGTGTGCTATGGCCTGAATTGTGTCCCCCCAAAATTCAGATGCTGAACCCCTAATCCTCAATGTGACTATATCTGGAGGTGGGGCTTTTAAGAGGTGATTAAGGTTAAATGAAGTCCTACGGGTAGGGTCCTAATCCAGTAGGATTGGTGGCTTTGTAAGAAAAGGAAGACACAGATCCCTCTGTCTACCCCACTGTCAGGAGAAGACTGTTTACAAGCTGTATCAGCCAGCCCCTTAATCTTGGACTTCTAGCCTCCCAGAGCTCTGAGAAGTCAGTTTCTGTTGTTTAAGCCACCTGGCGTATGGTACTTTGTGGTGGCAGCCTGGGCGGACTAGTTCAGCGTGCTAGCAGAATATCAAGTCTTTAGGATAAGTTGAAGCCACAACCTTGGACAGGAGGGAGTTCAGGTTCCAGAATAAATTTCCAGGAAGCCACCACCAGCACGTTAGAAACAACCAGATTTTTATGATCACATTTGCTCCAAGTACGTCTATCTTTTGCAATGGTTCAAAGTCCCCTCTTGGAGGAAAGGCTCTCATTAGTGGCTAAGTACGAAGGACACTGGAGTCCCAGCTCTGCCACTTACGCCACGCAGCCCTGGGAAAGTTGCCTTCCCTCTCTAAGGCTGTCTTTCTCAAATGTAAAGCTGAGACAACGCGGCAGCACCACTTAAGGATGCTCTGGGCTGCGACTAGCAGAAACTTGGCTAGCAGTGGCTTAACAAATCGGGGTTTATGTTTCCCAAAGAACAAGAAGTCTGGAGACAACAGCTGCTGGCCGGGCTCAGGTGCGCAGTGGTGTTGTCAGAAACTGGGGTTCTTTCCAGGGGTTCATCGAACCATCCCCCGCATGTTGGCTTTTTTGTGTGGCTTCCTCGTCAATGGCTTCATTGCTGAAGCACGAGTCATTATAACAGAGTCCAAGCAGAAAGAAAAGGGGGGGGTGGCCCAGCTCCCTTCTCCTGCCACCTGACAGGAAGCAACAGCTCTGCAGCAGCCCAGAGCTGGTCCTGTGCCAGGGTGACCCTCGCTGTGAGGCTGAGCCCACCTTCCCTGATACCAGAACGAAACCAGGGTTCTGTGAGCAAAACGAGAAACAGTGTAGATTTTTAACAGTGTTTAAAAGTGAAAAGTGCCATGTAATGTGCTTAATGCCGCGAATGTCGACTACTAAAGAGCTTAATTTTCAACTTTTACTAGAACCCAACTCATCTGATAAACTGCATTTCCCTCAGTGAGATCACTTGAGATAGCTGCCATATGAAAAAATGCAGGTCTCTGTGTCAAGGAGTCAGAGGAGGAATAACTGGAGGATAAACTCAAAGATAGAAATGTAAGCCCATGATATTTTAGCTGTAGCTTCATACTAGAATCAAACTTTTCTGGCATTCCTAAACCACAGTTTATATCAGCAGATCCCTTTTTGGTGGCTTCAACTGAATAGGGTGGCCAAAGAATATCTTTAGTGTAAATACATCCTAAAGGCTTTTGGAAAATGGAAAATAGTGTGTGTGTGTGTGTGTGTGTGTGTGTGTGTGTGTGTGTGTGTGTAGGTAGTGGGGGGGGGGTGGAGGGAGGGGGGAGCCTAGCCCTTTAATTAGCAGTAGGGCGGGGAAAAACCCTCGTCTGAGGTTGTTATGGCTCACTTCTTCTGGTTTTAAATAAACTCCTACTTAAGAAACAAAACAGAACCTAGCACTTTAATTAGCAGTAGGGTGGGGAAAAACCCTCTTCTGAGGTTGTTATGGCTCACTTCTGCTGGTTTTAAATAAACTCCTACTTAAGAAACAAAACATCCTTCTTAGCAGGCATACCACATCAACAGTCCGATGAAACATCTTCGCTGAAACCCTCGCTTTGGAATTAATCGCCAGGTCTGATTCAGATGAATGGGATCTAATCACGAAAGTTTCGGATCTACGGAAACCAAGCGTTCACCTGGATCTCACATACTCCAGAAAGGAATGTAGTGCAGGGGGAATGTTAATAGTCTG